TGGTAGCTCTTGGTAAGAAGGAGACAACATTGGATTTCCTGGTTGTTCAGTTCTCCTCCGGCGTTGACATTCAGGACTGTCAGATCGTCACATTTGAGGGCCATGACTCTAAAGACCCCAATATTAAAGTGCGCGTTCCGCGAGGCGGAAGCTTTACCGCCAAACTGTAGCTAAACAAAGACACACGATATTTGAGGATCGCACAATGCGTAACTGGACAGTGGCTGAGTAGAGATGGCTGGGTATGCAATTTAAAATATATGCTTCATTTACCCGAGGACAACATATTATGATGCGAAACCCCTGGGCTTTAACGTTTCAGCTAATCTTGAATCGAACAAGCTCAGGTTGGCCAATATAGTGACTGCAATAATACGAATATGATAATAGAAATAGTTCTCCGATCAATAGACAACCACGCACGTTGCCAAAAGCTTAGTCATCGTGCATTCCTATCACTCCACGATGTCCTTTAAACTGTTCTTATAAGTAGCTTGACTAGACAGGTACTTGGGGCCATTCGTTTGACAATCCCATCATTCTTGTAGAATCCCGAGTAATATTGCAAATCAGGCGACAGTCACAACAAGCTGCGTTGTATCCTGAATCAAAATGGCAGCCCAATTTGAAGCTGCAGAGGCTCGCAACAAGCTGGAGGATCTCTCTGGAATTCAGCTTGAGCCGGGCGAGAACCCATACAACGCCCTCATCAAAGCCTGCAATGATGATCCGGTAAGTGACTGTCACTCAAACTTGTTGTTTCCAAACTCACAATGTCAGGCTGAGGTCCAAACTCTGTACTCTGTCCACCGAACAAAGAGGAACGGCCAACAAGCGGAAAAGTTTTTGTCCTCTGACTTCAAGGAACTAGTTATTGACCAGACACTCCTACGGCTTGAAGATCCGACTGTAGAGCCGGGATTTCGTGACAATAGGAACTGTTTGGTCATCTGGGCCAGACCCCCAGACCATGTTATCCGCTTAGCCTCTAAGGTCAATGAGTTACTCAAGAAGGCCGCACCCAGTGAGGAGATTCAGTCCCATAGTCAACTAGCATATACTGACCGTTGAAAGGTGTCTGGCTTATGCCTTCGCATAGAATGCATTTGACAACCCTCGAGGTTGCATTCTCCAAAACACCCCAGGAGATTGCTGCCTTCGTAACGACTCTGAGACCAGCTATCCCTGACATTGTGAACTACCCATATCGTCACAGGTCTCGCCTTGTCAAGCCTATGGTTTCTTATGATTTGTCTGCTTTTGCTCTCTCGTTCCTCCCAGCATCAGGTGAAGCAGCACTCTCCCCTCCTCTCACCGAGCCTGTTATTACAGAGGGGATCACACAGGGAGACGCTTACACATATCACCATCTGCGTCGCGACGTGTACGATAAGGTACAGGAAAGTGGCGTCGTGGTTGGATCAAGATATCAAGTTCCCAGTGCGCACATCACGCTTGGACGTTACCTGAATCACGATGACCATGACACGCCAGAGAAGAGGGCAGCCTGGGTAAAGGCCATTGACGAGGTCAATGCATGGCTAGAGAAGGAGGTCTGGGATAATCCTGACTCCGAGTACAATGCTGGCGAGTGGCTAGTCGGCCATGAGAGAGGACTGGATGCACGAAATGGCACACTCTGGTATGGAGGCGGCAAGACTATAATGCTGGGTGAAGGATTTTAGAATAGCATCGGAGCTTTAGACCTATAGACCAATACATCGTTGCCTTTTTGAAGCTTTCTCAACCACGACCATGACTCATGAGCCCTAACCCGCTTGATGTTGAGGGGTAACGACTCAACCCTTGAAAATGGTTCTTCACCATGAATGCACGTTATTGTGCTTTGCTTCAGAAAATTCGTGTTGGTGCAACACAGAGACTTTTTTTTCATTCGTTCCCTATGAAACATGCCTCAAATCGAGGGCGTGTACCTCCTTTCGCCTGTGTCCATCCATGATGCCCAAATGCCGCCGAGGTAAGCATAGAAATGGTGACCCTGAGACCCCAAACACAAAGCACTTAGAAAACCAGAGCAGCACCCTTCGTCTTCTTGTCACCACTGTTTTCAATGTCAGTATATTGCTGAGTCCATTAAGCCTAGAGATCACGTACCCAAGCTCGAAGTGCTTGCATCGCTTCAGCGCCAGCTGGAGCTTGGTCTTGCACTTGACACACTCCAATCGCAGAACAACCTTCTTGGTAGTCTTGGCCTTCTTGTGGAAGACAGGCTTGGTCTGACCACCATAACCGGACTGCTTGCGGTCATATCGGCGCTTACCCTGAGCGAACAGGGAGGCCTTGCCAGCCTTGTACTGGGTGACCTTGTGCTGGGTGTGCTTGCGGCACTCCTTGCCCTTGCAGTAGGTGTTGCGCGTCTTGGGAATGTTGACCTGTAAGAGCCAGAATGTTAGCCATCTGGTGTGTTCGAGGATCAAGATCTCTGTCCAGATCTCAGCACATCGAGTCGCACGCCCCCAAGACAGTTTGAGAGAAAAGATTGAATCGTCGGAAAGGGCTTGAAGGGCGAAAAATGTGACACATTCAACAAGTATCGTCGGTTCGAGATTGACGTGGTCGTTTCGAGTTCGTGTCCCTTCATGTTGCTCCTAAATTTCATCCCACTTTCTCCCAGTGACTGTCATGGTTCGCGCGTGGTCGAATGGTTTGAGATAACGGCATTGCGTTCTCAACAATAAGATGGCGCTATTGTTGATGCTGGTAATGAGGCTTTGGGCTGCAGCGACGTACCATTTTGACGACGATGTACGGTGCCGTTCTTTGGGTGTGTTTGGTGATGCAAGTTCCAAAGACTGGCTAAATTGAAGTTTTGGTGTGATTTCTCACTTTGTGGGCAGCCGACCCTACCTAGCCCCATCTGGTGTGGCACTCGCTTGCACCAGCCACATTTGAGCCTGAGATCTAGGGCACTCATGATTGGCGCCTCATCTCGTTGAGGCGAAGGTGAAGGTACGTACCGTGGAACTCACCCCACGCTGATGGAAAGGACAGACTACGACCGGCCCCACCATTCCATCGGGATCTTGAGCGCATCCAAGGTGTTCTCAAGGGACGTTTTCAGGGACAACAGTTATCCGCATACAAAATACGTTTCCAAAACGTTAACCAAGATGGACCCCTACTCGACCGAAGGCGAATTAATCAACATTCACAACCATTTCCATCAGGGCCAGTATCAGGAAGTCATTGACTTCGATACCTCTTCCTTCTCCCCTGACAACGCTCTTCCCGCGCGCATTCTTGTCCTCCGAGCTCGATTGGCTCTTGGACAGGCAGAAGATGTTCTTGATGACGTGAAGGGTGATTCTCAGCCTGAGCTCCAGGCTCTGGGCGCTCTTGCTGAGTTCAACTTGGGCAAGGCCGATTCTGCGGTGGAGACGATCGAGAAGCTGGCCTCTTCAGCTGCCGACAACACAACGGTCCAGGTTATCGGAGGAACAGTACTCCAAGCCGCTGGAAAATCTGAAGAGGCTCTTGCTCTTCTCACTCAACATCAGGGAAGCCGTAAGACTACACAGGGGTTGGAGATTGCTTAGAATGCTGCTGACCGCTATTATCCAGTCGATGCTGTCTCTCTTATCGTCCAGATCCATTTGCAACAAAACCGAACCGACCTCGCCCTGAAGGAAGTATCCGCCGCAAGACGGTGGGCCCAAGACAGTCTCTTGGTCAACTTGGCTGAGTCGTGGGTTGGATTAAGAATCGTAAGTGTTTTACATGTTCGGGAAGTACATTCACTGAGAAGGTGCAGGGTGGTGAGAAGTACCAGCAGGCGTTCTACGTCTTTGAGGAGCTCGCCCAAGCTCCCTCGACCTCATCAGTTCGAAGTCTTGTCTCGCAAGCTGTCTGCGAACTGCACCTCGGCCGAACAGAAGAAGCCCAAGCTGCTCTCGAACAAGCCCTGGAGAAGGACGCTAATAACGCCGACGCGATTGCCAACCTGCTGGTTCTCAATGTTATTTCCGGCAACCAGTCCGATGAATTCGCACAGTCAGTCCTGTTGTCTGATTCCAATCTTTAGACAAGGCATATACTAATATTTACTATAGGAAATTGAAGAGCGTCAAGCCTAACCATCAATTCTTGGCCGACTTGGAGGAGAAGAGCGCTCTTTTTGATAAGGCTGCCACGAAGTATAGCCCCAAGGTGTCAGCATGATTTAGACTAGGCGTATCAATTGCTAAAATTAATGGCGGGCGCACTATTCATAGAGGATTGGACCCTCTTGGCAATGATTATTGAGATCTTGAACGTATTTTGCCATGTTAACCGAAAGCACGTTCGAGCCATATATAAGTAATAACGGGAAAGCGAGGATTGTCAAAAGATATCAGGGTCCATTACTGCAAAGAATTAGATTCAACACTGGCAAGGGTGTATACAGCAACTTGTGGACTTGCAATTCTTAGCCTTCTGAATGACGGGCATTTCATGGTAATAGTATAGCAAGGTCTGGCATGGTTCTGAAGACCACTTTTGTCGAGATACTACCGTCTTTTGGTCCATTGCCAAAAAGACGGAGCCGAGGCGAATGGTCATTGAATCTTCTCAAGCTATTAAATCTCCAAACAAATTATATCCATGATATCGTCACGAGACACAAGTCGGGATACCTATCAGTTAGGAGTTACTAGATCCTGCTTCGCTGGTCGCATCCAGGAACAGAATGCGTTGCTAAAACGGGTTCATAATGCTCAAGAGGATAATTTATTCGGGTGAGCAGGCGTATTACCTTGCTCAAAAGTTCAGACTAGAGCAACCATATCGTAAAAGGGCCTGTCAATTCTTTCTATACCGTCAATCCTAAACCGCGTGAAGAAAAGAGAACAAGTCTCATGTACCCATGTCATAAAGCATCATGACGGCCCACACGAAACTCCCGAATTTCCCAACCAAGATGTCATCATCATTCGCTAACGCTCGACTCGGCACTGAAGCCATCGTACAAAATCTTTTGTCTAAGCATTGGACGCAATTGTTCATTTCTTCTTGTTGGGGAACTTGGGAGCGCCAATGTCGCTACCTCGCAGCTTGACATTGAGCACTCGCTCCATGGCGCCAAGCACCTTTTGATCGGGGGTGGCAGTGCCTCGCTCGAAGTCGGCGACGATAGCCTGGGTGGTGTTGCATCGGGTAGCAAGATCCTTCTGTGTCATCTTAGGCTCAACTTGCTGACGAGCCTTGGAGATGACATCGCCAACAGTCTTGCCGATGGTGTTGGGCTTAATGATGTCGTCGGATCGATCGACCTTTGTCATACGCTGACCCTCTGGTGCAGAACCCTGCAAAATGGTTAGTGTGTGTTACAGGGAGACGATCGCTATACATACGGCATTGGCAGAAGAGTACTTCTTCTCGGTTGTGAGACCGCCAGCTCGTTGGGCAGCATTCAAAGCAGCCTTTCCTCGAACAACAGTCTCTCGCTGGGCGGCGCCAGAGCCACGGGTGCGGCTGCCAATCTTGGTGGTGGTATCCCAGTCATCCATTTTGAAGATATGAAATTTTGTCGAAAGAAAATGTGTGTTTTGGAGCGAGGTGTGGCTCGATGTGTCGCGATGTGGAAGATGTGTTGTATGTTGTGTATGTAAGAATGGAATATAGATCAAGCTGAACTTTGGGCGACAAAGAATTTATGGGGATGGTGATGGAATGGGCGGAGGGGTTTTGGGCCTGGCCTTGGGTCACTGAGTCAATCGGCGGGGGACTATAATTGGCACCGTGCATCGGTGGCCTCTCTTTGCATGCGCCTTGTTACTCCCGTGGAAAGGCTGCCTCGAATTTGGTTACCAAAGCCCTGGAGATAACAGTGCAGCCAGACATCTGTGTGTTAATTTTCATTCGCACCGCCACTGGTGGCCCATGTGTCGCCTCTTCTCAGCCCATAGAAGGTGCTAGACTTTCTGGACGGGAACCCTATTTCGAGACGGACTACCTAGGGACCGGGGCACGGAGACGCCTATGTCGGTGCTGATGCAAGATGGGTCCGGTCTGACTGAGCGAAAAGACTCAATGACGATGAAGCGGGACCTGACGTGCCTGACAAACTGACGTGCTCTCGTGCTCTAACTACCTAGAGATAACTCGTAAATATTCTATCGTTCTTGAGATGATGACTAATGACAAGCGATGCTTGGAGCTCAACTGCTTACTGGCTCATGTATCGATAAAATGCCCATCCCGTAATGCCGACTACAGTACCTTGATGGACAGGTTTTAACCTCGGACTTCCTTCGTAGATATTTGAACAAAGACTCTCCCTTGCCTTTTCTCTTGCATCACTCGCCCGCGAAGCTGAGGTATTATCTTGGCTTTTCAAATAGATATGCATCATCAACCCCTGGTTTGCTTATGGACGGCTTGTTCGATGACTCGCCGCTTCTATCGGCCGTCCTCGCCGCAGACTTCGTTGATGTACTCTTGAAGAAATGGTGGGATCTTACTGCCATCTTGGCTACAACTTGGGTATATTTTGTACTTGCAAGGAGACTCGACATTCTGCTTACTCTCGGCTCTGTCGCTTGGAAGCATGCTTCTGTGATGACCTCGCTTGCAAGCCACATCCAATCACGGTTCATCACGAATGTCGCATTCAGAATATGCGGAATATTTCTAGTTGGTCACTATGTCTCAAGGTGGATTGCCAATCGCAGGGTCAATCCCACTGCTAGTACTGCTCATCCACTGTTGATTCCTGGTCGAATAACACACCGTAGGGTATATCCCCAGAAGCATTCTTTTGCTTATCCATACCTCATGCTTGGCATCCCGATAGAGGTCTCTGAAAACGCCAATGGAATTATGTCTGAAGATGCTCACGGTCCACCGTCTTGGTTCACACAATTGTTCGGGTTGACAAACTTCTTTGAGGTTCGTCCAGTTGATCACCTACAACGCATACGTTCCGATAATGGCTGGCGTGGAAAATTAGATGCATATCTAGGGTCTGAGGTTTGTTAAGCCATCTTATAGTTGATCTCAAACTGACAGGCGTAGGGTATTGAAGCCTCGCGATATCCGTATGCCTATCTCGTGACTGCTGCACAGTTCCCAGGCTTTGGCTTTAAACCGGCAACCTTCTGGTTCCTTTATTCATCGGACAAGGTCCTTCAGGCAATTATTCTGGAGATGAGCAATATCTTCGGAGAAAGGCATCCCTATCTTGTCACGAGAGAATTGGACAAAGAAGACGAGCATGTTCATAATATGACCCAGAACGACCAGGGACTTCAGTGCTCTCAAATAAAAACGACATGGCGAAAGAGCTTTCATGTTTCACCTTTCAACTCACGAAGGGGATCGTACTCTATACTTGCCAAAGATCCCCTTGGGCCTGGCATGCAAGGATTTCGAGGACTCGACATCTCTATCACCCTCTCTTCGTCAAAGGACCAGCCGAAGCTTTTTGCAAAATTGCTCTCTGAAGGCAAAACCATTGACCCCGGCAGAATAAGCATTTTAGGGAAGGTCGGTTTCGTCTTAAGCTGGTTCGGTTCTGTTCTCGCCATTCTTCCTCGATTCATGATGCAATCAACCATCCTCTTCTTCAAGCATAATCTTCATTTCTGGTATCGACCAGAACCTTTGAAGGAAAGCATAGGACGGCCAGCTAATTGGATTGAGAAAATTCTCGAACAAGTATTTCGTGAATACTTGAGGTATCTTGTCCAACGATCAACCGCGCCTGTCACTATTCTATACACGCCAGGGGGAGTTGCTGAAGCGTCTGAGCAGACATTCATCTCACCCTCCACCTGCGGCCCTGGAGACTCAAATTGCGAGATCAAGATCAAAGTGTTGACGCCAATTTTCTATTCACGTTTCGTTCACTATGCGCATGATTCTGAGGCCATCTTCTGCGAGGTGGTTGAAAGCTGTACCCTTTGGACTGACAAGCCGGAACAGCTGACAAGAGTGTTTTTGAAGAAGGGTTCTCCACCTATTTATGCTTCCAATCTGCTTGATTATGTGCTGTTTCAGCTCATCAAAAGCCTCAGACGCCGACCTGATAAGATTGAGAGACCATTGACGTCTACCAATAGACATTCGTCCTCAGTTAAGGGCATTGATATCCGGGGGTTTCGAATTTCATCAATGGACGCCTTTGTTCTTGAACAAGGAGATGAAGAACTCAAAAATGCGTATTTGAGGTCTGTGGTTCGCCTCTTTGTGGCTGATCGCATTGCCATGAGCAGCGTCAGCCTACTTGGCATGATGGAGCTCATAGGAAGAGTGGGTGTCTCATGGGTGCTGGCATTGCTCATTACGCAGACGATCACGGGCTTCTCATGATACTCATCATGTCACGGACAGAAGCAAGGGAAGCGCCCATCCCTTATTGATGGGACGAAGAACAGAAAATTCGGGTCAACATCCTGCTTACACCATACGTCCGGGTCAACCGATATTTATACGATTGAGAGACGACTTCAGAACAGGCTATACTGGTAAACCAACGACGAGTTAAGACCATTTGACTGACCAACCAGCACCACGAAGCATATAGCCCAGGCGTTAGGGTCTCCACCTGCCCCGCGAATCTTATCATCGTTCTGATCAAGCTCTCAATGATGTGAGCTTACTGTCTCGAATTTGGAATCAAGAGCTTCTTAAAGCTCTAGGAGTTACTTGAGCGACAGTAATCTACTGCCAGAATGTCATTGCAACACCAACTACTCCGTATACAATAACCATAGCGTACCCCTGCATTGTTGGGCATATTTCAAATTGTCTCAATTCCAAATACCATACGCATGAAGCCCCGCTCATGCTTCCGGGGCTTCATGCTTCGTCTCCATTGAGACTACTCCCTGAAGAATGACAAATATCTCTGTCAACGTCACACAGCACTTGGTAAGAGTGCCAGGGGGGCCCAATGAACTAAGGCTGACGATAGGACTCGCTAGTGGTATATGGCTGCGTACCAGTAACGGTATCCCAACGACCTGCGTATCTGGAATTGAACGATGGTTTGGACAGAATTTGAGTATTTGGGGGTGTCGAACGAAGCATGTAACGCCGCTTACTAGGCTAGCGCTCATGTCAAGCTTTGTTACCAACACGAAGCTGTACACAAATCGAAGCATGCAGCTCCAGTTTACGCCCGTCGTTCCTAGTTCGACAACACATCCTTCGTTAACCTGAAGATCATTCTCAACGTCATCCAATCACCGCCCCACCCCCAAATTCCCGGTCTTCTTTCATCATACTGTACCGTTACTCCCAACACTCCCCATCACTGACAAGAGTTCGGGATTTCCCTTTACCCCGCTATGGCCCCTCATAGAGCTTTCGAGAGCTTCTCTAGAGGTTTTAAAAGCTCTCTGTTCCCCGTTTCAGAGGGGATCTTTCAGTTCAGACATCAATCCTCGACTTCGTATAACATCTTATCGACACACTCTTGAACAATCACAATGCCTCTCTCTGGACACTGCCTTTGCAAAGCCGTCACCTACAAGGTCGACGACGAGCCTCTTCTGGTTGGCTACGATCACTGTGACGATTGCCAGCGCCAGAGTGGTTCTACTTACTGTACGTCCCAGCTCCACGAGCGAACGATGCTTGAATAGATCAGGCTGACATCTGTTACTTTAGCCCTCGTGGCTGTTGTCAAGAAGGACAAGCTCACAATCAGCGGCCCCGTCAAGACCTATTCTGGCAGTAAAGGCTCGTCAGGCAACATTGTCCACCGTCTCTTCTGCCCCGAGTGCGGCTCTCCCATCGCCCACGACCCCGATGCTGCTCCTGAAATCATTGCGCTCAAGGCCGGTACTCTCGACACTGAGATCAAGAAGAACCTGAAGCCTGTGAGTATAAACCGCCCCATGTCGATGCTACTGGTAACTGACATTGATCGTAGGATACCGAGATCTGGACCGTTAGCAAGTTGCCCTTCTGCCAGGAGCATCTTGCTAAACCCTTCTCCCACATGCCCGAGTAAAACATGACACTGGAAGGATATGATAGGGAGAGTTAGCGAGTTGTAAAGATAGGCTACATGCCTACAAATAGTTCATAACAATACAAAAATCTAAACATATTCACAAGCAGTAAAACAAGGATTGATGTGGTCATCACAAGTTTATCAAATAATCCATTCTCTAGATAGTCTATGTGCGATCGAATTGAGCAAATGCTTTTTCGTTAAACCCAGAAGTCATCCGACATTAAATCATGATAGTAAGTCTACACCCTCATACAAGCGCAACACACAACACTGCCATAATCACCGCCAGTGTGATAGCGGGCTTCTCATAGGCGGCTCCATCGGCCTTGGGAAATTCCTTCTGTACACGGCCGGTTTCACTGGCCTGTGCTGTGAAGCAACTCGCTGTGCCGCAATCATATCCGTCTGGACAGCATCCAGCGACTGGGCCAGCATCTCGACCACAAAGGAACCAGCCATCTGCGCAAGTTGATGAGGGTCCCGGGGCAGGTGGAGCATCGGTTGCAAGGATGACCACAGTCGCGCCGTTTGAGACGATGGTTGTCGAGGGAGCAGGGCAATCATGAACATCACAGTTTCGACCTGTTCGACAACACCCGCCTCCGTGAGTGGCGAGACAGCCGTAGAAGCCTGTGGGACAGCCCGTTTGTGTCTCTCCATCGTCGCTTGATGTTACCGAGGTGCCAGTTGGGCGATACGGAGCGATTCCAGTGGCCGAGCCAGTCGCTGTAGGTGTCGCGGTCACAGTACTCTCTTCTGTCCCGGACTCGACTTCAGTTTCGGTCTCAGTTGTGGTTCCAACTTCGGAAGTCGTAGGCTCTCCAGTGGTCTCAACCTCTGTTTCCGTCTTGGTAGTAGGCTCGACTGTGGATACACCTGAAGTTGTTTCTTGAGAAGTTGTGAGGACTGTCGTTTGATCTTGAGTTGTGGTTCTCGTCTGTGTAGCAACAGCACTGGGGACGCCTGATTAAAGTCAATATTGGTCTAAGAAGCATTGTGGTATTCACTCACAGCCTAATCCTTGACAAACATATCCCGGGATACAGCATCCTCCGCCAAGTTCTGCAGAGCAACTCGTAGCTCCATCAGGGCACGCTCCAACACCTCCACCACAAGACGCACCGTCCGGGCAGCACGCGATGCCTCCCGCCACAGTATTGCCAACATTCACACAATACGTTCCCTCCTGGCAGCACTTGACTTCGGAATCAATGTCAGAGCAGCTGTTCATCCCCTTAGGACAAGACGACCTCCTCTGTAGCAACGCCAGTACCTCTGCGGCTCGGCGCAGCAGGCTCTCGTGGGACTCTTCGCTGTGAGGAGCGAACGCTGGACGGTAGAAGCGCTCTGTGCCATTGAGGCTCACGAGTTTGTCATCTTGCTCTTCAAGGAACGATATGGCGGCAGCGGCAGCTTCGCGCGGAGTCAGACTGTGCAGTGGTGCGAAAGCGAGATGCTCCCTAAGGAGCTTGTCGTGCGAACCAGGGGCGACCTTCCGGATAGCTATTGGTGAACCCGATTCAGCGAGGGCCTGAGGAGGAAGCAATGTAGCGAGACACAACAGAAGAGCTGATATGGATCGCATTGCCGTATACTGAGGAAGTTGTGGAAAGCCCAGGCTCAACTAGTCATGCGCTGAACTCTCGCTGGGCTCATGGAATATCAAGCGACAGCGGTGAACAACTAAATGTGTGATGGGTCTTACTATTATGAATGCTTACACCGCCACACAGTATGAGCCAAAAGCATTTGCCAGACACGGGTTAAAGAAGGTCAGGAAATACCACTGGGCTAAGGTATTGTTCAGATTATAAGGTACGCGATGAACGAGACAGGGCATGATGCTGCCGATGGGGTATGACAACGACAACTCAGCGTTTTATAGGTGGCTTGTCAATAATTAATTGGGTGGCTGGGCGACGGTTAGGTGAAGATATGATGGGGCCACAAGATGGCTCTATCGCTACCTAGACTGACCCAAATGCGTACTCCAGCCTTTGATTAAGTTACAGTGAGGATATTAATTCTACTAATCGGCTGTAGCGCTGAAATCTATACGCATCAGACTGAGAGCCGTAGGAGAGTCGTCTGTATATACGGGCAAAGGAGGAGTCATGATGGCTGGCGGCGTGGCGTGCAACGTCATGCAGGGTCTCACAAGCTAGCCTCATGAGACGTATTCCAGCAACTACAGTGACAATCAAGTACTCCGTAAGTTGTCCATAATTGCTTAGCACTCAATAAGTTAGATATTGTTTTCCACATGTGTTTCATCTAGTATACATCGTTATCATACATGATTTTCTATGTCCCCAATGCCTAACCCCGAAGCGCCACCCAACCGTCGTCGTGTTATACATATCTAAGTTATTACAATAACGGCACCCAGGCCTTAGGTAGTCTAATGCTCTTAGAACACCAAATCGTCGTTTTTATCAAGCTTTTGATCGTCGGGTTGTTTTTGCTCTGCCTCCGTAGCAGCATCAACTTCAGATTCCTCGCCAGTGGTCTTTACTTCAGGAGAACCATCACTTCCAGCTTCAATGAGCTTCGCCCCAGTCTTCGTCGCTATGGTCCTGCTCTCTACATCGTCAGAAATGGCCTCCGAATCAGCCAGTCTGGCCGTGGGCTCAACTGGCTCTGGTGAGACAGTCACAGGTTCCTTAACGAAGGAATGACACAAGAGGCCTGCCGCAACGCTGACGTTCAGACTATCCACACAGCTTCCTTGGACAAACCGAGGTACTGATAGCTCATAGTCGGCAGCAACCTTAATAGATTTCGAAAGTCCATAGCCCTCATTGCCAAGAATTAGTAGACACGGATGTTCGTTTAGTGGGCTTTGTGCCTCAATCGTATCTGTTGACACGAACTTGCTCCCATGCTTTCGAACAAGCTTTCGATCAGGCGGCGCCACCGCGGCGTATGATTTCCAGCCAGCTTTCTGGGAGTCTTGGACGAACTTCACAGGATCATCCACCGCAAATAATGAGACTTCCTCCACTGCACCGGCAGCGGACTTGAGAACAACAGGTGTGAGTGTGGAGGATCCCCGGTTCGTGATACCGACGGCGTCAACGCCGAGATAGCTGGCAGTGCGAATGATACCGCCTAGGTTTCCCGGGTCGAGAATCTCGTTGAGCAGCAAGACGAAAGGCTTGGGCATCACATCATTGGACCGCCGAATAAATGTGTCGGTGCCATTGATCGCTGCCTCTTCCTTGGTTTGATGATCAATGTCCACGTGAAAGCCCAGGCGACCAGGACTTTCCTCTAGCTTGCCAAGAGATTTGATGGGGATCTGGGGTAGAGGGGAGGCTTCAAGCACGAAGCCATTGTGAGGTCGCCCCATGCTCATCTTATCCATGATTCGTTGCTCTTCAGGAGGCACGATTTTTATGGGCACGTTGAGTTTCTTCGCCATTCGCGTCAGGGTAACAGTATCCGCGTTATACTTTCGGTTCTCATTGGCATGTATGTAGAGATTATACAACTTTCGTCGATTCTGCTCCAGTGCTGCTTTGACAACTGATCGACCGTATAGGAACTGAGAAGCAGCGGTAGTGTATTTGAGGGTCATGGCCATCATCTCCTTCTTTCCACGCTTGATATCGCCAGAGTTATCTCCTTGGTCATTCTGCCGGTCTTCTCGAGCGTTGTCATGACGAAAGTCGCTAGGCTGTGAACGATCGAATCTCCGCTGTGATCCGTTAAATTCATCGTTGGACCATCCACCAGAGATATTTGACTGGCGATCTTGACGGTCGAAGCGGCCAAAACTTTGTTGTGAATCTTCAGGGCGTCGTATTGAGCGATTGAATTGCTGACTTAATTTCTCGAACTTCTCGTTTGATGGCTCTCGTCGTTCGTGTCGTGCAACATCATTATTCCCATTTCTGAACCCAAACGTGCGCTCCCTTTGAGCTTCTGGGAATGGTCGCGGTCGAACGGGCTGCTTTACGTTCAAACTGTCGGCCACCTCTTTGAGATCGCCATACTTCATTCGGTGTACGAAGCTGCGATTTCCGAATTCGTTTTCAGGATCGGCGAATCGTCTCCTCCTAGTTCGGCGGCCTATGCCTAGTTCTTCTCTCTCTTCCCGTTCCTTCTTTTCCTCATCTTTTTTCCTTAATTTCTTTTTCAGCTTTTGTTCCTGACGCCAATTTCGTGTGCCACCGGAGTCGACGGCTCTTGCACTGAACTTTGCCAAAAAATCGTCTCGGGGTCGGTTGGGGGGCTCTTTAGGACGAGCGAGTCGCTCGCCTCCTGCTTTTCGTCGACCAGTGTCACGATAGGCATTGCGGGTGTCGAAGCTGTCTGGACCGTTTTGAATTCGTTCAGATCTGATCGATCCCCGGACGATGGCTGAGAGACCTTTTGCGCGAACAAAGATGGGGGCGAAACTCCTGGAAGCGGGATGAAGCCTTGCTAATGGGCGGTTTAGAGCAACAATCCTCAGTTGTGTAGGGGTAAGCATTGCATAACGTGGCTATATATTGCTATACAATAATTTCCTTTTTTATGTTTGCGGTTGTCCTGCCTGCTGGATTGCAGGTTGTAGTCCAATGTGTTCAAAAATTCTATGTACTGAGATAGAAGTTTCGATATCAGCGGCCCCGCTAAACTATTTTTCTGCCACCCCCTGCTAGCTAATCGACTGGGCTTCTTCGGGTCCAGCTGGGCGGTGAGATTCGACGAGAGCGCATCCATTAATTATGGCGGGGCCATTGCAATTCCTGGCCCTGGTGTTAATTGGGCCATAACTTTAACGCGTTTGAATGCGACTGTCGCGTTTCCTGATACTGATGAATTTAACTTGACCAACCTAACCCAGGGCAACAACCAAATTCTCCATTATGAAGCTTCAGCCATGCCGCCAAACTTACCAAGTTACGATCCAGTTTGTCAAATTAAACTAAATAATTTATACATCTAGTCGATTCTGACGATCGGTATCGTGTCCCCGAAGGGCCATTCACCCCCACCAGGTCTCGACCGGTTTACGAATATCTCTTTTGCGATTAATGCGACGCGCGAGATGGACACTGAGAACCACCCCTACGAGCCCCCCGAAGGCCTTGTTGACCAAGATGATAACGCTATTGAGCGGTCGCTAGAGTGGCTTCTGGCGGACCTCAATGGAAACAATGGCGCTCTGCCTCCTGACGCTGATATTGATACGGAACGGCAGCCAACAGCGCGTGGGAATATGAATGCTCGAGGCGAGGATAGGGAACAATACATTCCCCAAATCGAAGAAGATGGATCAAGCGTCTTCAGAGTTTCTCAGCCTCACTACAGTTTTGAGGTTGCGATTCCGGAAATGCCTCTTGAGAAGCGCAACGAGTACTCGGCCGTTCATAGCGATATCGTCGAGTTCATATCTGGGGAGCTCCGGCCAAGTCGTGGCATCGTCAAGTATCATGTCGAGTTTACAGATGGGCGACAAGAGTTGGTAGGTGGACATTCTTTCATGGATTCTGAGGAGATGCCAAGCTGCTTCTCCTGCAGGACCTAGAAATGCTATTATCTATATGCCTGAAGCCCGCTCAAGTTATTAGGCTGCAGCTTCGAAGCTGGGGCCGCAAATATAATATGCGAGCTCTTGTTTATAATATGCCTTATTCACTGCCTAGCTCGCAAACCTATTCTTCTCTATTGTGCCCCCACAGCTGCAGCTCCCCCTTCATCACGACTTTTTTTACATTTCATTTCTTTGCCTACAACACACTTGCACACTCTCCCTCTCAATATCCTCCGTTCATTTCCACCGCATAGTACTGATTTTATCTCAAGATATCAACAGCTGAACTCGTTACCCGTGAGAACGGAAGAGTTGCATTGGCCCGATTCAGCCAAGGCCTATTGCCGCATGAACTTGACGACATGTCTGCCCGCAAGCGAAAATACTTGCAGGACGATGAGTGGGACTCTGGACAGGAGTCTGCTGTTTCTGACCGTATGGACATTGACGAGGAGATAGAAGATGATGACGAAGAACCAGTTCAGAGAAAACGTTCGTCTCGAAGCGTATCCCAACGCCTTCGCTCTAGAGAGAACACCAAGCAACTTTCCCGTAGTCCTGCTCTGGCTATAGACGAAGATGATCTGGACGATCTACAGCCAGAGCCTTTAGGGGCCACCAGGTCTTTGAGAACTCGACCTCCAAGACAACTGACTCGTATGTCCCTTAAGAACGGCATGAGTAGTCAAGACCAGGATGAACTGCTCGGAGATGCCCCTCTTGTTTCGTCAGGCGAGGAAGATGATGATTTCTCGCCTATCGTCTCCGATCTTGGCCCCAAAAAAGGACGTCCTACTAGGTCGCGACAAAAGTCGAAGCGTCTTCACACTACGAGTATGCGACAAAAGGCTCTGTCTCAATTGCGCCAGAAGTCCCCTGACTCAGATATTGAGTTTGAAGCACCTCGGCGTTCCTCCAGAGCTACAAGGAACACCCTGAACATGCGAGATGATGCCCAAATGGATGAGGATTCCTTCTATATTGCCGATGACAAGGCCCCTGGCGCCCCGAAGATTATCTCAATCAGAGAGGTTTTTCAACCTCTTCCTGCCGACTCAGAGTTTGCTTCGATGCACATGGATACCTGCCACACCTGCGGAGGCTCACGACAACGGGGCCCAATGATTCACTGTCAGGGCTGCACGTTGTCCTATCACAAGAACTGCCTGGGATACCGCAGTGCTCGCGAGCATATGGTTACCAAGGTCGGTCAGGATGATTTTGTCCTGCAGTGCAGGTTCTGTATTGGCGTCCCAAATAAAAAGGATGGCAGTGCTCCCAGGCATAGCATGTGTCAGGCATGCAAATCTCCAGGTCGGAGCTGCGCGGCCTTTTCTGAAAAGAAGACATCTCGACAGGAGGAGAAGCTTCGTGAACAGAACGGTGGCGTTGATCCAATCACTCAGGTTCCTCCGGACCTTCTTAACAACGCTGAAGCGGTCCTCTTCCGATGTACTTCATGTCATCGAGGCTGGCACGTTGATCATCTTCCGGGCGCTAGAGGCGGAACAATCGGAACAGATCTCAAGTCCGAGCGCCTGAAAGACCATTCCATTGACTGGCAATGCAAAGAGTGTGCAAATGCCAGGCACAAAATTCATCGCCTCGTGGCATGGCGCCCGATACCAACAGAGCTTGCCAAACGAGACCCTCGACCAATGTATACTGAGGTCCGAGAGGACGAGAAGGAATATCTGATCAAGTGGGAAAGTCTATCCTATGCTCACTGTGACTGGAAGCCGGGCGCTTGGGTGTACGGTGTAGCAGCGCCCACGATGCGTACTTCCTTCGGCAAAAGAGACCTCGAGCAGGATTTGCTGAAACTCAGCGAGCGAGAGGCCATTCCAGATGAGTTCCTTATGCCAGACATAGTTCTCAACACCAGATTGGACCCATCGGTCCCAAGACCAAGGACGAAAAAAGACGAAATAGATAACTTGGCCAACGTCAGCAAAATCTTTGTCAAGTTTCAAGGCCTTGGTTATGACGACGTTGTGTGGGACACGCCCCCATCAGAGGATGCAGGCGATATTTATGCCTCCTTTGTGGAGGCATACTACGAGTATATTGAGGGCAAATACTTCAGGAGTGAATCTCAGCACATGATCAGAGAACGAGTCAAGGCTTACAAAGCCGAGCCGTTCGAGGAGTTGAAGGAGCAACCTGCCGGCCTCAAACGTGGAAAGCTCATGGGATACCAGATGGAAGGGGTCAATTGGTTGTTGGGGAACTACCACTCAGGCCGCAGTGTGGTTCTCGCAGATGAGATGGGCTTAGGAAAGACTGTCCAGGTTGTAGGCCTTGTGACTTCTTTAGTCCAAGACAGCCCTAAGGTAAGGCACCAGCGTCTAAGAAGCCGACGGCAATTATACTGACATAACCAAATTATACTGACATAACCAATAGTGCTGGCCTTTTCTTGTCGTTGTTCCAAATGCTACATGTCCGAATTGGCGCCGTGAGTTCAAGCAGTGGGTGCCAGAGCTCCGAGTGGTCGCCTATCATGGCGGAAGAGAACCACAGGCACTTGCTTACAAGTACGAGCTGTTCCCCAATGGATCTACTGACATGAAGGCACACGTTGTAATCATGTCATATGACTCAGCACAGGACCCTGCGACAAAGGCTCTCTTCAAGTCTATCAATTGGGCCGGGCTTGTGGTTGACGAGGGTCAGCGCCTGAAGAACGACCAGAACATTTTGTATGGTGCTCTTCGCTCAATGCGAATTCCTTTTCGACTTCTACTTACTGGTACACCACTCCAGAACAACAAGAGGGAACTGTTCAATCTTTTACAGTTCATTGATGAGAAGCAGAATGCCGAAGAACTGGACGCAGAGTATGCGGTTCTTGATAAGGAGACGCTTCCCAAGTTGCACAACAAGATTCGACCATACTTCCTCCGCCGAACCAAAGCAGGTGTTCTCAAATTTTTACCTCCCATGACACAAATTATTCTGCCGGTCACAATGACTGTGATTCAAGAGAAACTTTCGAAGAGTATTATGGCCAAAAATCCCGAGCTCATCAAGGCCATGTTCTCCAACAGCAAGATGAACAAGAAGGAACGTGGATCTCTCAACAACATTTTAATGCAGCTGCGAAAATGCCTCTGCCACCCTTTCATGTACTCCGAAGCTATTGAGGAGCGTCACCATGATCAAACAGTCATTCAACGCAACCTGGTCGAGGCATCAGCCAAGCTCCTACTTCTCCAAGTCATGCTTCCAAAACTACAGGAAAGGGGGCATCGCGTGTTGATCTTCAGCCAGTTTTTACAGCAATTAAATATCATTGAGGATTTCCTCAGTGGCCTAGGCTACGATTTTTGCCGTCTCGATGGCAGTATCAGTAGTCTGGAAAAACAACGCCGCATTGATGCCTTCAACGCCCCTGACTCGCCCATCTTCGCGTTTCTGCTTTCGACCCGAGCTGGTGGTGTTGGCATCAATCTCGCTACTGCAGATACAGTCATCATCCTCGATCCTGATTTCAACCCACACCAGGATATTCAGGCATTGTCCCGTGCTCATCGTATTGGACAGAAGAAGAAGGTCCTTTGTTTCCAGCTTATGACTGTAGACTCGGTCGAAGAAAGAATTATGCAAATTGGTAAGAAGAAGATGGCCTTGGATCATGCTCTGATCGAAAGCATGGACGACGACGAACTTGCCGGTGATGATCTGGAGTCAATATTGAAACACGGCGCCCAGGCCTTGTTCAACGATGACTATGAAAAGAAGTCTATCCACTATGATTCTGCTGCTGTTGATGCACTTCTAGATCGGACAGACGACACAGAAAGCAAACCCGATGACGGGACATCATTCTCTTACGCCAAGGTGTGGTCCAACGATAAGTCCGGCTTTGACGCTGGTTTTGCTACTGAAGAGATGGCTGAACCAGAAGCTATCAACTCAAGCGTCTGGGATCGTATCCTGGCTCAACGTGAGGCAGAAGCACAGCGTCAAGCTGAGGCAACTCGGGAGGTTCTGGGTCGCGGTGGTCGACGTCGACAGGTAGGCTATTGGTTTGTAAAGTTCTACTTATCAGCAGCTGACCACCTCACAGGCTATTAACTACAAGACGAACGCTCTAGATAACCCTATTCCTGGCGATGCCGAAGCTGAGCCGTCAGACTCCTCTGATGATTTTGCTGGCGGTGACTCTGGAGAAGAGTCTGAGGAGGAAGATCCGTCACTGGCAAAAGGTAAACGCCAAAAGATCCCATCTGTTAAACAAACAACCCCGTCCACGACACCAGTGAAAAATTCAAGCCGCAAAAGTAAAATTAACAAGACTGCAACACAGACGCCGAAGCAGACCTCCAAACCCTCCAAGCATCGAACGCCCGTAACGCCAGACCGCAGCAAGTCATTGGCGAACAGCAAAAAGCCAGTCGCAGGAGCCGGCAAGAAACACCAAACAACCACAGCAAACAGCAAAAGCAGCAGCCAACGTGGCAAATCGGGAACACCCAAAACCCCAAGCAGCAAGGGAGTCTCCAAAACAATCGCACAACGACCCCCAACTACCCCATGCAAAACTCCTACCCTCAAGGGAGTGGCCCAGTAAATACCGAAATGCCCATTGACTTCACCCGATATATCAAGGGTAACTACCTCTACCAGGGCAACTCTACAGACCCTGTACCACCTGAGCGGGTGATTCCCACCCAACCCCATGCTCCTAATAACCAAATAGTTGATTACAGAAACATTCGCCTCCGCTCAGAAGCCGAAGTTAGAGTAGCCCTTGATTGGGTCCAACGTTCGGAACCTGAGACTGAGGTTAGGAAACAACACAAGGCGGTTCTGCTAAGCCGTCTAAGGTCGCTTACCGGTAAAAGCGGAACGCAGCACAAATGATTTTACTTTGGACATAAAGAAGACGAGGTTGCTCAGCGCAAGCAGCCGCGCTGATACAATAATTTCCCCACATTTGGTGTGAATTAAAGGTGGACAACAAGCCCTTTGCTTTGCTAAACATTTTGATTTATGCTTGTTGACATGCCAGGCGGCATCATGCACGCGGAGCTGGGTATTCAGTGAAGGAGGACGGCAAGCTAACAAGCAAGCAACCTTGGAAGTTGGCGACATGGCCAACCTCAGTGTAGCGAGGCAAGATGATAGACAGCATAGCACAGACGAAGGCCCTTTGAATGAAAACTCTCATGAATGCACACATGAGCCTTGCTCATATTTTAGGTCAAGTGTTTGAAGGTCAGTGCTGGCAAACTGTCGCTGCAGGTAACCGCAGTCGTAGCATGTGTTTTGTAGAGTACGCCTCAATGTCAAGCAAACATGCCATAGTGCCTGATGACCATATTCTCAAGTATAAGATAACGTAAAGTCTCATAGACTGCCCACCTAGAATTAAGCACTTATCCCCATCCTCTTACCTATACCGTGTCCTCGAGCGACCCTGGTAGACTTCCACACAGTATTGTTGAACATAGACGCTATCTTCCGTTTGCTGTTTGCCCGCGCATGTCTCGAAGTTATAACCCGTCTTCCGCTACCCGCGTCCCAGTTCCTAGCCGTCTGATAGACCGTGCGTGGATGCTCCTGGGACCAAGTACTTCTTATAGTCATCGGATGCTACACTTATTAAATCGTCCAGGAAAGAATTGTCTCTACCAATACCAACTCTAACATCGATCATCCTCAGGTGAAGAACTAGCCTCCTTCACCTTCTCACCAAATCAGAAATATCCCTTCTCTTCAATACATTATCAAAAGATCTCATGTTTATCGCTGGGCTCAAATTTCATCACAACACCATCTCAGCTCTCAAAATTATGAATCGACCAAGCTCTATGGAACTTTCTCCACCTCCCTCCAACAATCACTTTCATGTGGTTGGCGGTAACGGTTATCCTGTTCAATTGTCTTATGGAGGCTGGCAGCAGAACACTCCAGTCTCCCAACTTCCTGCTCCACGAGGCATGCCATCTGGCAACTGGAGAGGTTCTCAGCCATCTACAAACCCCATGAACAGCTCTGTCCCCGGTGCTAAGCACTCACTCATGAATTCTCCAACTCATCCCTCCTCTTCTTCCAACCACGACGGCGGGCCTGTGAGCATCTCCGATTGCCTCAACGGTTATGCGTACTGTGTAAAGCGACCTGACGGGCTATACACAAGACTGATTCCGGCAGACATGGTCCCAACCCTCATCGAGCTGCCTGCTACTCAGACCAGCGCCCAAGGAATGGTACTGCTTCCGGATCTGCACATGCAGCCACCACAAGGGGTTCCTGGGATGAATCAGCCTGTCACATTCAAGGTACGTGAATTAAATACGGCGCACACAGTAGACGATGCTGAGTGTATAGGCTCCAACTGGCCCAGCATCTGATATCCTCCAGGTAATCAGCCTCTGGCAGTATTTTGCTACCTCCTTTGTGCTTTTTCCTTTTTCCTGGAGCAAGACTAACGTCGTTTTCTAGACCAGGATTGATCGTATTGTTGCAACATCACCTACTCAACAACGTAGAACCAAGATCTATTGTGACAAATGGATCCACGACGGCACCTGTGCCTTTACTCAGCAAGGTTGCAAATACAAACACGAAATGCCCTTCGACAAGGCTACGCAGCAGTCTCTGGGCCTGTTTCATGGGTTCCCCAAGTGGTGGCGAGATCACCAGGAGGAGCTTCAGAAGCACCGCAATCGAGACTTGCGTGCCATTAGCAGCCAAGTCATCCTTCAGTCGGGCTGGCGAGATGATGGCAATGAGGATGTCCCTCAGACCGCGACAGTCCTGGCTCCCATTGGCCCGGAGAGAAATCAGAAATCAAGCAAGAAAAATCGCCTCTCTCAGACTCGCGAGGGGCTGCCTAGTGCTCCAGCATCTGAGAAGCGCTCACTAACAGGGTCGGAGACTGAATGGTTCGTGGGTTCGACAGCATTCCAGGGCTGGAACGGTTCTTCGCCTCGCCGCTCTTCGGTCTCAGCTGGTCATTATGTTCGCTAGCGACTGTGTGTTGGGCAAACAAGCTACTTATACGAAAACAAAGAAACGGAACACGCCGACTAGACTTTCGACAAGTCGATGCACTAGAAAGACAAGCAATTGGAATGACTCTTCTGGCTTTATGTACCTGCTGGAAAATTTGTTGAAGTTCGGTCCCAAAGGCTGTTCGATTGATGTGTTGTCCAGCAACTTAGATTTTACTCTCTTTTCTGTTTGATGATTTCATATTAGATACGAACCCAATCTTTAGTATAATCTTCGAAAGGCAATCTCTTGGACGCTGGGCTGGGGCTTGCTTCGTAGATAGCTGAATGATCTCTGATTTCTTTGGTCATTAGCCAACCATGTTTCTTGAAATCACTCCGGTGGTGTCACGTAGGCTTTAGCGAGCTGGCCATGCGAGTCAGGTCTCAGGCAGAATTTGGGTGAAACATAAGTTAGATATGTATTTATTGTTACGCTTATGTTAAAATTGTACCTTGCCCCGCTATACTTGTGCTTGTGTGATGTCAGGTCTAGTGCAGGAGCTTTGCGCAAATGGGCTAGAATAGCATGTAGAAGAAAAACAAGCAGCTTCTAGACCAAGATCTATTCCTGCAAGAGTCCCGACAGCTCATGCTTGCCTGGCAAACCGAATTTCGAAAGATATACTGCAAGACGAGTAAATGAAGCTATCCCCAACCCACCACCTCCTAGGTAGTCTAGAGTAAACCTTTGGTGGTGGTGGGGCAGCTCCTTATCGAGATCCGCTAGACGATAAGCTCAGTCGGCTAATTCCCGGACCTACAACGTCACCACCCCTCCAATGCGAGAGCTGTGCTCATGAGTTGTTGCCTGCCTGTGAGCTTGGAGAGCAACAACAAACTTTATATCATCTGATCCTTCGTACCTCAGTACGGATCGGGGCCTTACAATACAGAGTTCTTCGTCATCACTTTGAGATTTTGACGAGCATGACTGGGAGATGATCAGTGTAACAGTTTCATCAATTCAAACTCCACACTTGACATAACCAACCACTACACTGAGAATCAACCTGGGTATTCAGAGCACAGCTGATCATGGACACTGTTGCGGCCGTTCTAGCTGCCTTCGCGCCAACTCAGGCTGCTGCTCATTCCGTCAAGAAGTATGATGCTGCTATTCGGGACCATGTCGCAGCTGTGACCTCGCTGCTTGCGAGTCAACGGGAAGTCATCAGTGCCAATGCTAGCCAAATCCTACGAGTAAATCTCACAGTATCTTTGTTGATTCTAGCTAACGCTCCCAGAATATCGACCCCTCGACCGACTCTATCACATTTCAAGCCATCCTGCTTCTTTCACTACAAACATCGAACCCGGCACATGGTAGCGAACGAAGCACACTCTTAGACGAGACCCTCCGATTCCTTCTCAACTTCAACCCTCTCCAGATACGATATGTTGGCTCTGATTTCAGAAAGCTTCTTGAATACATCGCATCAGACACTCTATTTACGGTACGCGCCACCTCTCCATGGCATCGTCAGGCGCTAACTATCCTGCAACTAGACAAGGGTTACTGTAGAGTCTTTGGCTGCTGCTATACTGCGACTCGATCCCACAGGAAGCATGTTCACATCTACCCATCTTACACTGGTCAAGATCGCCTATTCGACATCTTGGATTGAGCCCGCTCTCAAGGTTCTCGATTGCGATCTTACGTTCTACCCTGGTATGGCGGGCCAGAAGGACGCCAGACTCTTGTGTGATAGTAGCCTGCATCCCGCCTCCTTCATTTCAGTTGACACAGGTCTTACTGGGGATGTGAAGAGCTCTGCCGTCTTGGAGTATAATCACCTTGCAGCTCAATGCTACATGTCACGACGAGACTGGACCAAAGCCTACCGAGCTCTTGAGCGCGTCATTACACACCCAGCAAAAGACAAAGGCGTCAGTAAGGTCATGGATGAAGCGTACAAGCGATGGTTACTGGTCGGGCTACTCAAGGATGGAAAAGAACCAAGTAATCCATCATACACTTCCACGATAGCCAAGAATACCTACGCCACACTAAGTACGCCATACAAGAATATCACCACTTGGTTCACAACAACGGATGCTGCGCAGCTCAAAGCGGAAATTGAGACCAACCGACAGGTCTGGGAGGAAGATGGCACCTCATCGTTGGTGGCCGAGGTTGTGGCCGCGTACCCAAAATGGCAAATCATCAACCTCCGCGACATATATGTACGGGTGTCCATTTCTCAAGTGCGTCTCTCGACACTCAGTGCCGAGACAGGCGAAATCCTCACAGATGACGATGCTACCACACGCTTAGTTCAAGATATGATTGATTCCGGTCTACTAAAAGGCGAGCTGCAGCCGGGCAATAATGACGGGGAACTCTATCTGCACTTCCACGACGACAATGAGGAGATGACAGAGGCAAACTTTGCCCAACAGATTGCCCAGCGTTATCATAACATCCAAAGCCTTGGAAGCCAGTACAAGGTAGCCAACGAACGGCTTGGTAACAGTAAGGAGTACGTGAAGCACGCTGTCAGGGAGCAGAAGCGGGCAGACAAGGACCCTACAGATCCTGGGCTGGGCTTCGATTCTCTAATAGAAGATGAGGACCTTATGACAGGCATCACACCAACTGCCTAAGTCGACCGCTCAGAAACAGGCATGTTCACACGGTCACAACCTATGGTGAGCAGTATGGGCTTATTAATCTGAAAATCAGACATACATATTTCATTGTCCCAACACCAGACACGGCATATTCGTTGATAGTTGGCAACAATGCTGATCGCAAGGGTTGCGGTAGATGAAGACGCGGCGTATTACTTTGTATTCACTAGATAATCAATTAAATGATGACTGGCTGTGGTTGAACACCAGTTGATGAGGGTCTCCTGACCCCCGATTCCGTCTCCTGGCCCTGATTATCTCTTTCTTCTGTCGTTCGAATTTCTCAACTTTGAAGGACATGTGTTGAACTCAATTTACCATTTGTCACTATTATTCATGCTTCGGTCTCTCCGCGTATCCTGAACCCATCATCGAGTGTATGACAAGCGACAATTATGTCTTCTCAGTGATACCGCTTCTGGTTTGTCAATTCTCCTATTGGCATCGAAAGTCGTTTCTTCAATATTCCTGTATCTTATCACCCCATGTACCCTCGCTTAGATGATAGTAGTCGTAGTGCATCATTTTGCGCATAGCAAGCTCTTGGTGTTCATGGAGCTTCAATTTGTCATTGGCTACCAGTCGCGGACAGAAATGGGCTCAGGGCGTGCGTGCATCCCTCCCATTTCTCTTCATTGACTTTTACCATGGTTTTAATGACGCCTTTCGTTCTCATTCTATGCACAGTGCCTCGAGAGCGCTTCTCCAATAGTTGCCCATTGCCCCAGTGTCCTCTCTGCAAAAGATTCGGGTTCTTGAACAAGCTTCATTTTGTGGGTGTGTATTTTCGAAGTAAATGCCATCGACGCCTCTTTCAAGGATGTCGGCACGAGCTCGATCTTTGGGATGTCGTATAGTTCTGGTTAGACTGCGTATAACAAGGTCACGGCCATCAAGGCTGAAATATTAGCCAACGGTGTGGCAGTCACTGTAGCTTTCTTCTGGTGTTGTGAAGCCATCGATGTTTCTTGGATGAGTAAGTGTGCTAGCAGAACGCAAAATAGGTAAAGGCATGTTCTTACAATGATCATATCATTGATTCATAATCAGGTGCACGAGACATGACCATATGTTTGTCAATATTTGCTCTAAATAATCACCACGACTTGAGGTTGAGTGTCTCGAGCTCAAGATAGGTAGTCTAGTGCCAACAGTTCTCTGGGGCACTCTAATGGGACCATCAAGTATTGGAATAGAGGTCCTCGCATGATAAAAGGATCAGTTGGATCCAGAAACGATTATTACAACGCTATGTTTTCTTCAGTATATAATCTATTATTTGAGCCTTGGCGCTGTGGAAGAATGTCATCTGCGTGGAAGACAGCCCAACGCAGTCATTTTATATGGCCTGTTCCCTGACCTCGCTCGCCCGTCTATACCGTGAAATCCTATGTACTATGCATCCCTTGTGCTCAAGGCGACAAAACCACCTAGATTGAGTATGCTTTATGCAATTATTCCCTGTACTGTGTAATGTAATGAGCCAAACAGTTTAAATGAGCGCGCAATATTGCGCAGGCTTTTGATTTCATGTCTGGATCCCAGAACTTCAAGAGGTTTAGCTTCTGGACCATCTTGGAATTCTGGGCCAAAGGTGTTCTTTCCACACCAGATTTGTTCATCAACAGGGCCTCGAAGTTGGGTCCGCATAACGTCCTATGACGAATGTGATGAAGACCTATGCCCTCTTCGATGACGAAGGCTTGGATGCGCTGCCCTCATCTCTGGTTGGGGACTCTGCGGCTTATCCCTATTAGGTCTACAACAGCAACTCATGGCAGCATGTAGCAGGAATGCCACATCGGTGAAGATGGCAGCCAGCCACATGAAGACAAACATCTTGATGCCAATGTTTGCCTTGATATTGAGCTGATCCTGCGCCGTAAGTGCGACCTTAGCAGCAACACTTATGACAGTTGCAATGATAGCTGCGAGCGAAACAAGAACCGCTGTGCAGAACGCAAGAACCGTTATAACCAAACTCCACCAACGGGTGCGAATAACGAGGAGGCTTAGTGGAATAAGGACAAAGTCGATGCATATGCCGGCCATGAAACATCCGTACATGATTCTAGAGCCTATCTTGAGCAAGTTGAGGACGGTGACGGCCTCAGCAGGGAGTGCAATCTGAGCTCCGGCGAGCAGTTCGCTCACAAGAATCTCGACAGGGTTGAACCAGTACCATTGTTTGGGGCTAGAGCAGTGGGTAACGCCTCTGAGTTGTGTTGTTAGCTATCGTATGCTACATGTAATTCTTGGAAACATACTCGTCATTGTAACCTTCGCAAAAGTTCCATAGTCCAACCTGGTAGAAATCATGCAGACCTAAACTCCGAGCAACAGAATTAAGCAGCTGCGAATTATCGACCGAGATCGGTATAACTTGAGAGACATCAAGCTTGAAGAAGTATATGTCGTTCAATGTCGAATTGATATGGGTATTACCGATTATGACGAGAATCAAGAAGGGTATCGATAGAAAGTATAGCGTGCTAGCAGCGAAGGCCGTGTTTCGCCTATGCACGTTCGCCATGGTAAGGTACCTAGATAGGCACTGCGGTATCGGAGTGAGCTTCCAAGCGGCTCTTTCGTTTGTTGGCGATGCCTTCTAATTGCGTGCTGTGCTATAAGATACCAGCAATGAAACAAATAACGAACAGAACGAGAAAGATGAAAGGAAAGGATAATCGCGGAGTGGTGTGCGGTTGAATGTCTACACAGTCCACAAACAGAACATAAGAAACAAATGGGGCTACGAAAGGCTTCGTAATCCGGAGAACAAAAGAAAGGTAGCGACAGGACAATGAAGAAGTTGTATGCAGTAGAGAAAATGCGTTGTGAAGTGGGCCAGCCAAATGGTCGACACCAGCTGCAAGGTACTTGGAGGAGCGAGCAAGGAGCGACAGCTTTCACAGAGATAGGTAGTGGAGCAATCGTCATGATGAAAGGAAAATCCCAATTCCAAGGATCTTGCCAGGCGACATGGATCCATGCAAATCCATGATCGAAGAGGCGCCAAAAGGGTCGTGGGCCTTTCCGAAACCTTGACCTAAAAAGGGACAGACGACCTCCATCAGTGGAGAGCTTATGTGCTTTTGGTGGAATGCCCCCTGCAATACAGCATCCATGAGGAGCCTAGGGAGCGACAATGCAGCGGCAAAGGGGAGGCTTATACATACCTGCCTAGGGTCCGTGGGTTAGGGGGCATCAGAACCTGGTAAAGCTGAGCGAATAGATCTCTATTTGTCTACCTATTGAAGCTGGAAGAAGACCCTGGACAGCCGCCCGTATTATGATACATCCAGTTGGTTGGTAAAAGCCCAAGTATAGTACATGTCAGTTAGCAGGCCAAAAAAGAATGGGAACATCTTGAATAGGCGCCTAAGAAAAGTTGTTGGATTTACGACTTGCAAGAAAAACATGGAATGCCATGCCACTATCATAGGTTATTGGTGCTTGGCTTTCGCTTTTGTCTTCTGGTATCCAATCCAATCCATTTCTTCTCTAGCCCCAAACTACCGAGCCTCAGGTGAAGAAAAGGAAGTGATGTGCCGTGTTACCGGCTGGGTCTTAAGCTGCGGCCCAATATGATGACGCGTTTCAACACCACTTGCATCCAGCAAAATTTCATGAACAAGTGAACAACAAGCGCTGTGGGTGGTAACGAGTACGCTCGGATTTTCGGGTATTTTGACGACTCTCTTAGCGCTACGGAAACAGTCAGAAACTTAACATGACTTGTGCGTTTATTTTTGCGGCTCAACATTGGCCAATTGACACTGTCAATTCCTGCCGTTATTACCGCTAAGAGGGTGAGGACTGACTGTTTATTCATAGACACATGCCATTATGTCACAGCGGGTGAGGCCGCATCATCAAATGAAGCACTAACAAGCTACTAACCGTAGCCAACTTGTTCAGCATTTTTATTTTTGTTTCTGCTCTCTTTTGCCAAGTCGCGACAAAGTAACTATCACGCAGTCGCTCTCCTTTTTTCCTTGGGTCCTTCATTTGCATCTCTTTTTATTCGTAATCTCGTCTAAGATTGGGATAGGTACTCTTGACTAAAAAGCCAAGCAAGGCGGTGCAAAAAAGAAGGTTTCCCAACCGCCGCACGTATCACATCCTTCCACCGGTCTCTACAGTGACTACGGAGTACCTACTTGAGGTTTCTCTTCATACCCACCTCATCTCGCCGATCTGTCGTCGTTCGCAAAAGTGGGCTCTCTTGATGCTGGTCTGGTGTTTCTCAAGCAGGGATCAAAGGCAGGACTGCGCAGGTCGTCGCAGATCGCACTAGGCTGGATCTTGTTCTACCTCATCAAGAGCACAACTCAGTTTTGTTTCTTCTTTTTCTTTCGGCCTGCTTTGCCTACTGGAACTCCCTTGATCTTGTACCACTTTAAATCGACGCGGGCCCGGCTGCAACTGGTGGACCTTGAGCTCCAGTTGTAAAGCTTGTTGCGACTAGCGAGCTCCCTCCTATCGCCCTTCCAACTTATCCTGCGCCTGCCAGAGATATTCTCTCCTGTCACAAATTCTTTCAAGATCGGTTTTCCGCCATGAAGCTCTGGAGCTCAGTACTCGCGGCTCTGGCTTTGACTTCCAGTCAAGTGGCAGCTCAGACAGTCGATTTATCAGCGTCTTCAGACCTCACTTTCATTGGAGGTACACGAACACAGAAAATTACACGACAAACCGGTCCTCCCACAGGCGCATATTCTTCCTACGCCTCCAAGATCACACTGCAGGGCTCCAGCGATACCGAATCGGACCAACTCACGAGCACCCTCACGGGCCTTTTCCCCACAGATGTCACAGATAGCACTACCATTACCAGCAACCTGACAGAGACTGGCACAGGAACCGCCACAGCAAATGGTACCTCGACTACCACGACGAAATCAAAGCCTACAAACACACAGCCCTGTAACAATTACGTCGAGCTTTGCAAGCGCAAGTACGGCAATATCACGATGGTTGGCTGCCACAACTCACCCTTCGTAAGACCGGGTAACTCTGGCTCTAACCAGGAGCTTGAGGTTGAGACGCAACTTAATGACGGCATTCGCTTCCTTCAGGCTCAGATTCAGTTCCCTAGCAACTCATCAGTGCCACACTTTTGCCATTCGACCTGTGATCTTCTTGACGCGGGTCCCATCACCGACTGGCTAACCAGAGTACGAAAGTGGGTTGACGACCACCCATACGATGTTGTCACTATTCTTCTTGGGAACGGAAACTACTCCCATCCCGATCTTTACGTACCGTACATCAGAGAGACCGGTATTTTGAAGTATGTCTACCAAGCGCCTTACCTCCCAATGGCCCTTGAAGACTGGCCCACTCTGGAAGAGCTGATCATTCGTGGCAAGCGAGTCATCATGTTCATCGACTACGTGTCGGATCAGAAGAAGTACCCCTGGCTTCTCGATGAGTTCACACAGATGTGGGAGACTCCTTTTGATCCCCTGGATCGCAAATTTCCCTGCACTGTCCAGCGTCCTCCCGACCTGAGCGACAAATCAGCCAAGAACCGCCTGTACCTCATGAACCACAACCTCAACGCCGAGTTCAACGTCTTTGGTGCCGAAATTCTGGTCCCCGCTGTTGCACTACTCAACGAGACTAATAACGTCACGGGCTATGGCAGCCTGGGTGTTGCGGCCAACAACTGCCGCTCTGACTGGGGCCGGGCTCCCAATATTCTCAACGTGGACTATTACAATTACGGCGGCTTCCCTGGCTCTGTCTTTGAGGTTGCTGCGCAGATGAATAATGTGACATACAACCGTGACAGTTGTTGCGGTACCGTGAGCCTGGCTCCACATACATATCAAGCTGCGTCTATGACAGCTTTGCTGGCTGCATTGATGTCAGCATACCTCATGTTTTAGATGTGCGCATGGGGTATAAATATATGACCGCATTTCTGACTGGTTCTGTTCGCATAGAGATAGAAGCGTATTGATTTTTGTTTTGCATAGACTGGAAGTTTGGGATCAAAGACATATGGGCAGGTTCAGTACTCACCACAAATTTATAATTGAGGATGGGGCTCTTAGGTGTGAATCGAGTTCTCGTTTTCAGAATAGAAACTCTTGTTCTAGATCAGCTTGTTTACCATGTAGCTCGCCCTGTTCGACTTTGGAAGCGGTCTAAGTCAGCATCCAATGAATGTCTACGTCAACTTCGGTAGGTATTCTCTTTTTTCCATAGACAATTTCTTTGCAGCACAGTTTAATCTTCCAAGGACAGAAAAACTGCTCTTCTGGTGAAATACCATGTAAGTTCGGTGTGGCTTTCGGATATCTCATACAAATTCACGTTTAAACGTGCCCGCCAGGCACATGAACCGACAGACAGTATACGTCTTACACCTGGGTAGCACAGGGTATCCGAGGCACAAGATTATGCGTGATACTCACATGCGAATTTGGTTCACGGCAAACCTCACATTTATAACAGGCTTTACTTCATCCGTGTACCTGTTTTTGATAATAACTCGCATATCGAGCATATAGGGCATAGGGTATGTGTAAATACCTACCAGACATACATATCTTGGCTTCCGCGAAACAAATCTTATGGTTGTCCAGATCTGCTTAAAAAAAAAAAAAAGCACCTTTTGTATGATTATTTGTTGATAGGCCGGAAATCATAACCCGTATGCTAGAATTACCTGAAAGCAATGGAAGAATGCTGAAGTGTGGTCTGTTGGTATTCTCTGCTCAGGTTGAGTCTTATTAAACCTGGAGGAGGTGTTGACGCTAGAGCCCGTTACAGATACCATTGCGCAAAGACTGGAAATGTGTACGGGCCGTACATGGAATATGCAATGATTGGTCAGATCAGTTCTATTTATACTATGGCCAGACAAGCGTCGACCATTCTAGACAACTAACTGGTCATGCATGCACTTCTTGTGGCTTGCATTGACCAACTCACTTCGAGGAGAGGAGCCCAAAAGCCAAGCCTAGCCTGTACATACATAAACGAATGCGGCAGAGGTAACATGCCGTGACAAAGACAGGAACCGCAACAGCGGGAGGGAGGATTCACAAAAAGATTAGTTGTGTAGGGTTACATTACAGCATCGACAACAAGGCAACTCAGCTGCTGTACATTCAGTGTGAAAAACCTCACTCTTTTCTCCCCGCTGCCCTCAGTGCTTCCTTTAAGCACAGACAAGAGGGGAGAGGAAAGGACCCCTTTCAGCTTTTCCAAAAAGAACACAAGTCTTGTGGAAATCTCCGGTAGCTGATGACAAGGCTGTTTAGCTAGACTCAACCTAGTTGCGCCTCTGAGGCTTGAAGCTGAAGTTGAATGACACCTCGATGTCTGGGATACAGTATCTCATAGAGACCCCAAATGCTTGTGGGTCCCGGTGACGTGACAGCCAACCAGTGCTTCTGCTTATATTAGCTAAGCGATTGGTTTTGCGGCCTGTTATTCGTCTAGCGCGGGACCCACAAGCATTTGGGGTCTCTATGAGATCCGTATTTGTGCGATAAAGGCAGTAGGATTGTTTGGGAGAGCCAAGGCGGAGGCCGCCTATGGTAAGTGTCAATTGGATAGATGATTACTGCAAGGGTTTGAATCGAATCGAATCCAACAGAGAGTGCAGCTATGCATCTAAGGCTAGGTAGATCGAAAAAACGGAAAACCCCCAAGGTACGAAGGATTACTTTCGCCTCTAAGGGCTCATATAAGATAGCCACTTCTGAAGCGCTTGAATGAGGGTCAATAAGCGACTCGAGAAGTAGCACTATTTACCTGTTATCGCGTTTTGTTACAGCACATGAGACAGAGGTTGAAGAGGGTCATTACGGCACTTGGACAAAATGTGTGAGATCTCGCATGGTCTTTCGTGGGGGGAGAAGACCCAGAAAACAGGTCCAGCCCCAGCCTTACAGAGGTTAATGATCCGCCCCGGGCAGACGGGGAAGCCTAAGGCGTCCCTAGCCAGTGTTAGTTTGACCCAAGGTTGGTAGGTGACCACTAATGAACCCTAAGGTGATAGGACGTTCATTACCGTTCATGGCTGAACGGCTGAAGTTGCTCAGCAAGGGGGAGGCTTGTCCATTCCATATCATATCCTCTCTTCTCATCCCTTCTGCCTTCTGCCTTGTGTACTGTAGTTCTCGTTTATCTATCGCTCGTTCCCTCTCGATAACCGACAAACTATTAGCATCGCCAAATCCTTCGTTGTCTGATCGGCCGTCCCTCTTTTTGCGCGTCGTGCCCCGCCCACCATACCGCGAGAGATCGATCCATACCATAGCGTACAGCTGGAACTGTTACCCCGGGCTTAGAGCCGTTGTCTAAAGTTACAAACAATACCCGATAATGAAAAGAGCTGCGCAATATGGCATACCAAGATGACCGGGCTGAAGAGCCCTTTCAGACTCACGAGCCATATCATCCTGCTGGCTCTGTGACCGCATCGCAAAGGCCCGCAACAAGCCAACCGCATCTGAGCCATCGCGTCTCTGCCATGACAATATATTCCGACGACAATTCGTACCCTCAGCTCCACGGCCGCGAGTCTATGGTGTCTCTCGACTCCTATGCAGGAAACTCGAGCCCACCCCAACAGGAATACGACGGACATTCGTACGCTGCTGGGTCTGGATGGTCCGCATCATTCGGCTACAATGGAGCCGGGGGATCGTATGCGCCTGTGTCTGCAGCTGGGCCTCCTCCCTCGCGGTTCCCATCTCGAGCCAAGAGTGCATACGGCTCATCTCTCGGAAGAACCATTCAAGAGGAAACCACAGAAGACGAAGCATACGATCTGTCATTGCTTGGTGGTGCAGCGCCCATGGGCCACTCTGGTCGCTATGATCCCATAAAAGAGGATGAGGATGATGTGTCTCCTGGTTTCGACTTGAGCGCCGCGCTAGGACCAATGACCTCGCACGATGAGGTTTTCGTGAAGAAGCTTCAGGCCCAAGAGGCTAGCGGGATGTTGACAGGAGGTTTGGGCCAAGGGTTTCATGCGGACGTCAAGATGCGTGATGCCGAACTTCTGTCGTCGACCCCATCTGTTCAGAGGAGTCTGTCGCGGTCGTTTTCGCGCCGCAAGCCGCCTGAGCATCTTGGCCGATTCGAGACAATCCGGCAAAGAGGGCAGGACGAAGCTAATCGCAAAGGAGAAGTCATTGAGGTGATATTAGAGGAGGGACCAGGTGCCGACCTGAGCAGCATCGAGGGACTCAGTACGGTTGCCTCTAATGATTTTCGCCGATCAACATTCCCGACTAAGGAGGGCAAGACGGAAATATTCTACCCTCAACCGAACTGGAAGCCTCCAACAATGCGATGGCCCTACCTCACTTTGCTGATTATCATATCGATCGGGTTGGCTGTTGCACAGGAATACCTTTTTCAACGATTTCACGAAAAGCCCATAGTAAAATTCCGGTCGCCTAAAGATATAGACACCTTTGTCTATTTTGCCATCAAATTCTTACCAACAGTAGTTGCGGTTACTTTCGGTGTGTTCTGGCAGTTCACTGACTTCGAAGTCCGCCGCCTGGAGGCTTTCTACCAGCTATCCAGACAGCAGGGTGCTCTGGCTTCCAAGTCAATCAATGCCGACTATGTCACAAGCTACAGCTTCTGGCGACCTTTTCGAGCGATCAAGCTTGGTCACTATGCGGTGGCTTTGTCTTCCTTCGCCTCAACCCTCGCCGTTTCCCTTGTACCAACCTGTGCAGCTGCTTCGATCGTACTTACACCGAGCCGCAAGGAGCGTATGGAAAACCCCAGTGGCATGAAGGAGATCTTTGTGGCCTCGGTTTGGTCGCGACTTTTGACGGTTACTTTGGTGTTATGTGCAGCCATGGGGTGCGGCTTACTATATGTTTTACAAACTCGACGATCAGGCCTGCTCGCTGATGTCAGAGGCATTGCTGGTCTGGCTAGCATGGCCGTAGTGAGTCATGTCTTGATGGACTTCAAAGACATGGACACAGCCAAGCATAAAGACATTCACCAAAAGTTGAAGCGTCGTCGATACATGCTGAGAAATTCTTCGCTTGCACCTTACGAGGGCACAAGCACAAAGGTGGAAACGGACAGCGAACAGGATGATGGCACCCATCTCTCAGAGCACCCGCATCCCCTGATGCTACGTCCAATGGGATGTATCCCTTTCATCATTGGTTTGATCCTCTTTGTGGCATTGATCCCAACGTTCCTCTTCACTCCCGCCCAGATCATCACAGACAAGGCTGCGTGGGTCGTCACTGCGTTGGCCGTCATCCTCAAGCTATGCTGGGGCGCGATGGAGACATCCGTTCGTATGATGGAACCTTACTATATCCTCTCAAAGCGACATGCGCACTCAAAAGTTCTTACCCTTGATTACACCGCACTACCGTTTGCTTATATGCCGCTACGAGCGCTCTTGAACGGCCACTTTCTAGTGTTTCTTGTTGGGTTCGGCAGTGTCATGGCTGAATTCCTGACAATCCTTGTAACCAGCCTTGCAACGGTGGATGGGCAAGGCTTCATCACAGGATATGGAATGGATAAAGGGAAGTGGAAGGATGACAAGGAGAACAGTGAATTACTCAACTCTGGACAGGAGACGATACGCTCATTCTATATCACCCTCGGCGCCACATTATTCATACTCATGTACATGTTTGTTGTCTCAAACATGGTGTTCTTCCGCCGGCGCCATCCTTTCCTGCCGCGTCAGCCCAACACTATTGCGTCAATTCTGGCTTTTATCCACCAGAGCAAGATGCTGTACAATTTTGTGGGAACCTCGAAGCTAAATAACGCAGAGATGGCGAAGAAGCTTGATGACGGTAAGACGTATGGACTAGGATGGTTTACTGGAAGAGATGGACAGACACACTGCGGAGTGGACCAGGAGGAACTGACTAGTTCCTACAAGCATGGTGTCGACTATACGACGATGAACAATCCATGGAATGCACAGTGGGATGTGCTGTAGAATGCGTAATATAATGTTATGATTATGGAGCCAGATCTGTGTATGGCCATAGTTCGGCAAATATACACAACATTTGGACGGCTCAAGGCTGGAGTTTGGTAAATTAGACATTGGGCGTTGGCGATGAATTCTATGGTTCTGTTTTATCCAGTTCTTATCTGAGGCCTACGTCGCTGGAGTTTGAGGATCTCTCCGAAACAGGAGCATCAAGATAAAGGCATAGCATTTGTTAGGAATGCGACGAGCGAAACACGTAATGAGACTCGGATGAAGATGAACCGGAATGGTGACGATTCATATTCTCGCTTAGTGTAATGCTCTTTGGTCTAGCACGTGCTGGGCATGAATTTTGAATGGATAAACACGTCGATCATACTTACTATCTTCGTATCAGAAGGTTTCGAGTTGACGCGTCCATGCTCCATATTAGTAGTCTTTGACGCTTATGTTTGAGAAATGTGTCGCCTGTCCAGTAACAAGACCTGTGACATTCCCCAGTGGATTATGCCGGCCATTCCACGCGTAATGGATGTCCTTCTCTGAGTTCTCTTTAGTTAATCTCAATTTCTCTGTATCCGTACAGCGTTTATTACAGTGGCACATCATCGAATACTATTGGCCTTTGGAATGCATACCCCTGAATATCGGGGCTGTGATGGTTGGAGATCTGGAATGTGAGATATCCAATAGGAAACGAGAGTCGACGATTCTGGGTTTGATGAGCAGAATTTCCACTGTTGAAACTGACTACGATGGTGTGAGAACGGTGGACGTTGAAATCTAAACTCAATTGTGGTTATTGGCATCGTTGTCGAGTTTGAGATTCATCTGATAATTTTGGTCAGATATTCTCCGAGTATAGAGAAGTTGACACAAGCTACCTTAGGCAGACAATTGTCAGAAGAGTTGCTCGTCCTTCGTTTGCGAGGCGTTTCCTTGAAGGATGCTGGCCGCCGATCTCATCTGCCAATGAGCTTACTCTATGTGAAGCGAAGTTCTAGACGATTTGCAGGTGACAGAAGAACGCGAGTCTTGGCATCATCATTGAGATTGATTTATCAAAGTCTATCGATAACTCAAAAGTTGAGCTTGATTTCGACATTTCTTCAGACGAGTTCAGAATTAGAAGGACGCATGATTTAACTGTCTCAGTACAGATATTGACCACATTCCCCCACTCGTAATAGTGAGTGTCTTACGAACACATTCATGCAAGTTTTTCTCTCTGCAGACAAACGGAGATGCCGAAAGTAGTGTTTCCAAGAAAAACACGATATTAGCCCAAGAACAACCAAGACAGGACGCGACAGCACCTGAGTACACAGCCTCTTCACGCCTGACTATCACAATTCGATCGCCATTGCTGTCACTGTGTGTGCTTTTCTGAAATCAGTGCGCCTTGAAAGGCCTGACACCTGAATTGGCACACCTGAAGGGAACGAAGTAGGATACGCAAGGCTTTGGAGCAAGGGCCACATCCCTCGGGCATCGGCAAAGTTACAGAGACTGCCTGTAAGGAGGCCCTGAGGCTGTGCAAGCCTCAGTTAATTAAACCCATCCTGTAACAATGCGAGAGCTGGTTCATGGTTACCGAAGGTGGCATCCGTATCGTGTCAATTTTGGCTTACCTTATATTATTGTTAGAACATTTATTGTCTAGATTGTTCGTATTCTTTGAGGGCATGGGAAATCGCCCAGGTCTTGGCTTTTGACGGCCTTGTTGACAAGCCTGCTAGAGACCAACCACGCGCAACCTTTCAAAGTCGTTGACATAAAGATTTAGCCACACTACTGCATGTTATGGCACAGAAACCGGAAACGCTCATGTTTTTAATGCCCAAATCGTGGTTCATGCATCGAAAGTCCAAGTAACGCCTGCTGACCTTGTTTTATCTTATGCAGCGTGATGCCGCCTCTACTATAGCAACTAACCAGCCCTGCCAGCCTCTCGATTGTCAACATCTGTTGTGCAATCAAGATCTTCGGCAACAAATTGGTAGTTGCTCACATTTCATTCAATCGACGTTTTAGCCAGCCCGAAACATCCGTCCTTGGTACGTACAACATATCACTTTACACGGAGTGAGAAGACAAATTTGGACATCATCTTCCAGGGGTAATAAGGCCTTGTTGCTGATGGGGAACAAAGTGTGTACCCACAAAGTATATACTGTTAGAGTCGATACGAGATCGTCACCCCATACCCACGCATGCATCCGTGGTATTGACTTTCACTTGGCCCAGCGCTTGGCCTACATTCCAAGTACCTGCACAGCCTCCAGATTCTTGACTTAGGGGGCATGCGCCTGAGACGTGCTAGCATTGATACACCGCGTGTCATGGTTGAATACGACGCAACGGATGTGAATACGACAAAGCCTGTTATCTCTTGCCATTGACTTAGCCCTTGCGACGGCTGAGCACTGCCAAACCACTTCCAATATTGCTGCCAGCAAAGTAAAGGAAACCCTCGTCAGATGAACTGGTTCTTCAGAGACAAAGGCCGTGTCTCTGTCCAAAAGACTCCCCTATCACACATCACACGCAGGACCCAAGACCAAGCTAAACCAAACCTGTCCCTCTAGGCCCCGCTTCACCGCACTCGTGAAG